TTTAGTGGGCTGTGGGTGCAGGAAGCAGCTTCGGGCGCAGTGTGGTGGCTGTGGGCGCAGTGTGACGGGCTACGAGTGCAGGAAGCAGCTTCGGGCGCAGTGTGGCGGCTTTGGGCGCAGTGTGACGGGCTACGAGTGCAGGAAGCGGCTTTGGGCGCAGTGTGGTGGGCCATTTGTCGTTCTTTTCTTGTCAGTTGTCAACCTTTCAGCTCCATCTGAAGATTGTTCTTCAAATGTTATAATTAACAACAATTTAAAGTATCTTTGCCACTTGGACCACAAAACGTTTTGAGGTATTAGGCAGCTAAAATAAACGTTTTATGTAATTAGTGAAATACGAATCAAAGATTGGGTTGGAAGGATTAATCAGTTTGGCTACCATTTTGACTTATACATGTACATAAAGATCATTATTTGTTTTACCCAAAGAATAAATTTTTACATGTTCTGATTTTTTTAAAATTATTCCTTATGAAGTTTCCAGTCTACTGGGTGCCTTTAAGTACTCAGATTAAATCATCTATATTCTGTGTGAGGAGAATAAACTTCTTTATATTACGACTTTCCTATATAGCTCTGTTGAACATCTTAGCTTCTTAGGTGTCTGCTGAAGTGACCCATACATCCGCTTCAGGTACTTAAACGTAACGGTGAATTCCAAGTATGTCAATAGCTTTTAGCGCCTCGTCCTGCAGAAACTCTGCTCTTTATTAAGCTGCGTGGCACTGCTGCTTCTCGCCTTGCTCGATATTGCCAGTGATTCTTTGGATATGGGGATAAGACGTTTCTGAACACATTTCAGATCCACCCTCTATAGTGAAGAAACCCCAGCTCCATACTTGGATTACTGCTTTGGCTTTGCCCGCTAATTTAAAGCATGCCAGGAGTTTCTCCTGCTTCATAAGTATCGCTGAGTTCTGCATTTATGAAGAGTGAGACGGCCTGAGCAAACAGAAGTGTTCTAAATGGGGGAATTTCTCATCAATTGGTTAATTGCATTTCCGAGAATTAATCATTGGCTGAGGCAGGCCCCTATCCCATGTTTCTGAGGGCTGTAATCCAATAAGTTTGCTTCGTTTGTCTCCAGCGTTCCAGTCGCTTTGGTTAATAACACCAGCACGTGCGTTAAAGCCTGACGTTAAGACCGCACCAGCTGGTAACAGCCTAAACGTCCATTATAGTAGTTTGATTGCCACTGAAAGTTCAGTCACGCTTTCCATATTTTGCAGATCTGCTAAGGTTTCAGATGTGCTTATTTCACTTATTTCCTGGCTTGCAGCAGAATTCAGATTCAAAACTTTGGAATTCATTATTTTTACTATGAGGTTACAGTCTTGATGTGGTCCAGTAGCAGTTACTATTTGTTACAGATACAAAATGTACTTCGTACACAAAAGAAAAACAAAAGAAGCTACCAGGTGGATGGAGGATTCAAATCAGCTCCTGAAACCTGTTGCATGGAGCTTCACAGAGATGGACATAATTACCTCTCTGAGTTTTCATTGGCCAGCATGTGTTTAGCTTGGTTATAAGATGAAAATGCTTGTCACTGTAAGGTTTCTTAGCAGGGAGGTGAATTTTCTAGCAAACACTCATTCAAGGGACCCTGGAGGTTTTTAAGCAAGCAAGATAGTCATTGAAAAAACACAGATCAGGCAAAGGGTGCGGAGAGGTCTGTCAATATCTGTGTGAGCACACACTAATAAAGCATCGCAAAACTGAAGGTTAATTACATGGACAAGATGCTGTTATGATGGCGGTGAACCTCCCAAACTGAATAGATGCCCCTGCTTGGGGCCATACTGGAACTTTACGGTGTAACTGGCAAGGGGGCGACCCCATGACAGCAGTGTGGGGGAGCTCTGCAGGTGCTTCTACTGGGAAGTGCCTGACAGTTTTACAGGGACCTCTGTCACTCAAAGCTGCTTAGGTCACTCGGCGAAGCAGCCAATAAGAATGAGTGGCTATTTACACCATGTCAAAGAATTATTTTTCCAAAAGGCTTCAGGGTAGAATTGCTTTAAGTGTTGTGTTTATTGTTCTAAATCCAGTTATTCTAAATATCAGCAAATCCTTACAAGCTTTTTGGTGACGTGTTATGCCTTACACATGGTATTCACACTCAATAAAACACTTCACAAAACAAAATATGGATGCTTCTATTACTTAGAGATATTGGTACAATGGGATGGGTCTGAATAATTGTGAAAAGCCTGTTTGTTTTTATGTTTTTCAGTTCTTTCATGTGGTAACAATACTGTACTTTTCCTGCACTAGGCTCTGTAAGACCCGAGAGAAAGGTAATTAATTTGGAGATTCCATGTGCAGCTCAGTCAGTGACGGTTGTGTGGATCCTGCCTTTCTCAGTGAGGACCTTGGCCATTGATGAAGTCATTCTCTCACTTTTACAGGGACGCAAATTGGGCAGGCAGTGGTTAAGATCCTCTGGGTGGACCCTTGAAAACAATGAGCTGGTGTCATTTTAAGAGCAACACGGTGCAAGGGCTTCATTCCCATGCGCAGAATAAGTGCTCTGCTCCTCCCTCTGTCGTCGGGGGCGACCAGGGGCAGGGCACCCAATCAATCAAGCACCAACGTCAAAGCCGCAATAAAACGTTCTCACGTAGAATCGATAAAGTATGTATGTGTGTAAAGCTGACATGCTGAGATGTGATTATGGATCCTCTCACGGCCCCTGAAACTGAGCGCTATCAGTGCAGCCATGTCAATGATCAGCCTCCCCCCCCCCCCCCCCCCCCCCGTTCACGTTTCACATAGCCAGGGGCTGCACTGGTAAAAACACAGTTTGGAGGGAAATGTTATGTAAATGCTCAGAGAAAGTCTTGGGACGCTTACTTAATTCTATAATAATGCTGCAAATTTATTGGTTTCATCATAAAAAGCCATTGAGAAGCACTGTTTAACATATCTGCACATAACTTTGCCACTGACATTTTCTTTTCATTAAGTGTTATTTTTTTTGACTCACAGATTCATTTCTGTTCTTGCCATTAAAACCAAAAACTGGAGTCCCTGGCTGCCAAAGGGATACTAAACACAAATGTTTGGTGTTTTATGCTATTGCAGAGGTGTTACTAATTAAAAAGCACCCAATGAGACTGCTTGTCAATTAACTTTATATCTCAGAACAGGTCTTTTAGAACTAACTTCAATTTACTTTTACTAATTTATTATGACTTCAAATTATTGTTGTACTTAAAACTACTGATTATTTCTAATGTGGCATTTATTTTTGTAAACAAAAAATATAAGACCAATAAATTTGCAATATTTTTTCTGGATTAAGCAAATGCCCCAAAACTTTCTCTGTGCCCTGTGTTTAAAGTGCATCAGGGAGAGCTTTGTTCTGCTCTGTCCGCTTGGGTGCCTGGGGGCCGCACGTCTGTACGGCCAGGCCTTCACCTGTAAGGACGCGGGCATATTGCTGATGCCCCCCGTCTGTCTCTCCCCTCTGCACACAGGCTGGAGCGGCTCGTAGAGGTGCTGAGGAAGAAGGTGGGCAGCGGCAGCCTCAGGACGGTGATCTGAGGAGGGGCATGGGGGGGGCGGGGGGNGGGGGGGGGGGGGGTTGCCTGAGGAGTGATGTGCCTGGCCACATCTGGCGACCAGGCCGCTGCGTTTAACACAGTGCAAACACCCCAGCCTTAACTCTGCAAACAGTTGTTAGAAGTGCTGCACTCAGCCCACATTCCAAGCCCAGATCAAACTGAATCATAAATGTTTAACCAACTGGGCTGCTGTGCTTGTATCACTGCCATATTTTTTCTTCCCAAATCACTTATTTTGTTTGATTGCCCCCAATATTCTTTTTATGGTGGCTGTTTGTGTTCATGTGGGCAGAGTAACCCTCTTCATGAGGAAATTTGTTCTTATATTGTATTTTTCTTAAAAAGTTTATTTCCAATGATTTCACAGAATATTGCCACCCCCCCCCCCCCCAATCATATGGGGAAAATATGAGCTGTGGCTGCTCTGAATGCACATCGGTTTATTGGCTTGTTTTATAAAAATCCAGCAGCTTTTTATTGCATGTGTGCCTGTTTATGTATCTGTATGTATTTATGCATACATATATTATTTTTAAGAAACTTTGTTACTAGTGTGTACTGCCAATTATGAGTATGCTATTGAGCTGTTTAAATTATTACATTTCTCAAAATCATTTCACTGAAACGTAAAAAATGATACAGCATGTTAATGCTTATTAGCTGTTTAGCTGTGAAATATTTGTGTATTTTACTGAAATATAATAAACAACTTTTACAGACGTGCAGTGTGTATGTGTTTGTGGTTTTTATTTTTTTTACACTCTGGGGCAAAGGTTGAGTGTTTCTCAGAGCTGAACTGCTGTATTTGCCTCACTGCCCTCGCAAATCTTCATGCAGTTCCCATAAGTGTAACACTCTATCCCCTGTTACAGTAAAAATAAAAATAGTTTACTCCTAGGAAAGCTAATAACTTCTAGTTGAAGATAAAACTATGTTTAACTTATTGTGTTTGCATAAGGTTCACTTGGTAAATGTACTAATTTGGAACATAACTTTAGATGGAAAAACTCATACTTGTAATTAATATTTTGGGAAATCTGGATATTAATCATCTTTACTGGTGATTCTATTGCAGACTCTGTGGTTCATTTGTCACTATATGTTTCATCATATACTAGTGCTGTAAGAGGCTTCACTGTACATGTGTAATATGATTGTAGATCATACTACATGTAACAATTTCATGGACTCCAAAACAACTCTTTTCCACCACTCATTAGTACTATGAAATTATGTGATTTGTTCTCTTGAATAGTGAAACTGTGTTTTTGGAAAGTGTATTTATTTACTTTAGCGTGTTATGAAATGCTAGTTTGTTGGATGTACCCTTTGTGCTCAGTAAACAGACATAGCCTATGAGACATGGCTTAAACACTGCATTTCATTCGTTGGGTAGAGGCAGTGGAGTTTTGATGTCATTTTTCCTTTTTAAAATTTCCCTGCCATCCAGTCAGATGAATTGTCAGGTTTCTTAGAAGCAGGGGATGACGGGAAGGTTCAGCGAAACGTGTCATCTGCCGCATCTCGCCAGTAATGTATTGTCGCCAGAAAGACACGGTTTGAAATACGGTTGATTTTGGCTGCAAAATGAGTCACGTCCGTAGATCTACTCAAAAGCGTGTTACGCGGAGGTACAATACTCGTATGACAAAACTATCGATTACAAAAAAATACAGAAAAACATTCAAAATGTCCAGGCATTCCTTTGGGTTATGTAATTATCTTAGGAAATAATATTGTAACCTACATTACATATATAATCAAGTGATATATCGGACCTAACCTCATTTTACTGTTTTAATCATTTAATTAGTGTTAATATTCTCCTAAAGGAGAAGGCTACATCGTATAAAGTAAATAACCAGAGTAAATCAAATATTTTGGTACATTTGGTAATCCCAAATGTGAAGGTGAGCCTTTATATAAATATATTATTATTATTATTGATATTATTATTATTATTGTTGCTGTTGTTTGCTTGTTTGTAACGCCACCCTTACATTTCTTCGGATATATTTTCTTTTTTTAAAACCAAAATACATACAAATACTATAGTCCGATACCTAATTATAAATGATATAGATGACGTGTTAAGTGAGTATTTTGCGGGTCTGTTTATCCGTTCTGTTCGTCCTGGTATTTCTCGGTATTTTCACACATTACCGTATACCGCCCACTCCTTGCCACTCTGCATGCTGATAATTTATAAACAAAAGAAGGACAAAAGAGATAAGTCGACCTTTACTGAAGGCTATAGGCCAAACAATTATTTTCGCATCGTTTACAGTTTCCTACTCTGCTATCAATGAGCTGACCCTCAAGTGTTCCTCTTCGCCCTTCATCGGAGCAAGGCAGTTTTGCGATGTGTATGCCAGGAGATGATCGATTATGTACTCAGAAAATGGTGGGTGCACAGTCGCACTCAAGATGCAGTGTATAGAAAGGGGAGCTGCCAAGGCGGGACCCGCTGCTGAGTTTCCCTCCCCTTCAATAGAGCTCGAGACTATTACAAGCTTGTCGATTCCACCTCCATTCGTAACCGTGGTGATCGCACAACCTGGGTGTCCTTCTCCCTGTTAAACCCACAAGAGTCCTCCCACTGTAGCTTTCTGTGGTAATCCTACTTGTTCCACATAACAACATTATCTCAGCTACTTCACCAAAGAGAAAGTCTGAAGCGCTATTTCATAAAAAAAATAAATCAATAACTAGTATTACCTTTACTATAGCAGGCCTATTAATTACATCATTTTAACTTCAGTAGATCCGTATTCAGTCACTTGTAGCCTATTATCTACAGTCCTGTGAGTAATTCTTAATCATTTTAAAAATTGATTCATTTATATTCTAATTAGAAAGAGATGCCAAAATATGTTCAGATTTAATTTTCGATGTGCCTAGCACTCTTTGTGCAGCATATTTTGACCAGATCTTTTGCTCCGCATCAGTGTAGAGGATTGCGCCCCATGCTCACGCCGGCATCAAAAGGAGGGGAATCCCGATTAACCGTTATGAAAACCGATCGCATGATGACAGGACTACAAACAACTTTTTATGGGCTTTAATTAAAAACGTGTTCCGGCAGCCCGACCCTGAATGGCCTTCTAAGAAAAGCGTGACTGATCCTGTTGCTATAACGACACCAAATCTTTCAAGCCTTTTCTTCTTTAATGCACTCCATCAATCCATCCATGTATTCACTACGCACATTTTACTCTACTATCAACATAGCTTTGTAGCAAACAATCCACGCTTAAATGCACATCACACATCAACTTAGAAAGCAACATTTGTTTTCTTATATTTACCAAAACCAACTTTTCTGATATTTAATTTTATGATGAACAGTTATAGAAATACGCATTATTTGAATGATTTATCAGTTTTTTAGGGAAAGGCTTACATTTTTTGATGATATCAAGGATTCCCAAGAAAACTAACGTCATTTGAAATCTGAAAACCTCTCAGGCTGAGAAAGTTATCTTTGCGAGATTCAGCTCAAAAATTAATTCAGTTGTCCGAACACTTCACAAAAACCCAAATTTGGATTTAATATTTGATCAGTTAATATTTCTTAAATGAGTTTTTGTTTAAAACATTTTAGTGTTTATGTGACGGCCGATACGGTTTATGCTTATTGCTCCAATAAAAGCTGACTTTGTTTTAAAATATTTGACCCCTTTTATTCATCCGTTACGTCATAAACTACATGCCAAAATATCTTTTTTATCCTTACCGGCAAGAATTTCGCTTAATATTTATTGCTGCTGCATTGGACACAGAAACCAGAGAAAGTTTTTATGACAGTTATTTAATTTATTTCCCTTATTTCTACTCTATTCAAGACAAATGGATTAATGAAGACACAAAACATGGGACGCGAGCAGGCAAGCCCGGGACCACCAACCTCACTTAGCCGATGCATATTAGGAGGGCAATAAGCCCTAATAAACTTCTTCCGTATAATTTTTAATGGAAAACCAGCTGCTTCTAAAGCTGATTTCGGATAGAGATCTCTCCCTCTTCTCCTTCAGCCTTTGAAAGCCCCTTTCTTTCGCCTGTGATTCTGAAGGGGTATTGCTTTGCTCTTTTCGTTGGCCAAGCACAATTGTGTTATTGGAGATAATTAATTCAATCCCCATCAAAAGGTATTAGAAGCGCCTTGGCCCTGTAGTAGCTTTCTAAACTAAGAATAAAAAAGACAGAGAAGAAAAGTCCACGGGTAGCCTCGCTGATGGCTGCTTTTGAAGTAAAAGGGGTTGCGCATTGTCGTCGAAATTTTTGTCCATAAGGCTGAAGAAAGCGCCACGGCTTTTGATGGGAAGACGAGAAATGCCGCATAGGTTGGAAAACAAGGCGCTGCTGAAGTCTCGCTTCTGGACACTGCCCGCTGATAACATATGTCACCCATTAATACAGGCTGCTCGACCTCAATGGATATATTTAATATGCAGGGAACAAGCCGTCCTATTGAATGTCTCGTGGAAGTGCAATAATTACTATGATAATTATTAAAGAATAATTTTAATTATCACCAATCGCATGCATGTCCGTCGAAATAACCCTGTTTCATGATAGTATCTCCATTGATCAAGATGTCAAAATGAGTAGTTTTCGACAGTAGTCTCAAATTGTCCGTTCAGTATGTACGGACAATGCTTTTATTAATTGTAAAAATTGAGCATACTAGTCTACATCAGACTATAAAGTATGCAAAAGTTTGTCACATTTAAAGCAGAAAAATGTTTTAATGATGTGAACGATTTTTAATTTTTTTTAAAAAAGGTGTTTTCTCAAAAATGACTCCCGTTAATTTTGCGCGATTAGGAAATCATTAGCGCAATGGACAATGCCTCGTCGGAGGAAGAGAAACGCCGGACCAATTTCCTTTATGTTTCTTGCCCTTGCAGTTTCACTTTGATGGTAGCGGCACTTTTCCCAGGTCGCTACAAAGTTTGTTTTACCAGCAGGGCTAACTGTGAACACGAATTGTCTAAAGTTCAGA